CAAAGTTTTAGACTCATCCTGAAATGTGTGTCAGGAGTTAAAGATTACATTAATTAAATATTATCAGCAGTATTAGGCCATATGTTTAGTTTTCATTCACACTATAAAGTGCATTCATGGGACTGTGGTACTGAAAGCCATTAGAAAACACAAAAACAGCATTATAATTGGTTCCTCAACACATTTCTTTCACGCAACATTGTAGAAAACTCAAACTAAATGGTTTTAAATGAAGTGAATGCTATCCATTAGAGAAAAAGCGCTGTGGTGAGCACCCGGTAAGCCATAGAAAAAGTTGTGAACAGCCCCACACCAAAGGTCAGACCTCTGGTAGGCTGGGGCAGAGCCATCACATAGGCCACTGTGTGGACGAAACGTGACCCTACAAACACCCGGAAGTGCAACAGAGCCGTGGAGAGATCTGGCCCCGTGAGTGCATACAGGAGACCGATCACCACAAAGGGAACAATGTTTTCCAGGTCATTTAGATGGCACCTGTGATTCAAGAGCAAAGGCATCAGAAAAAGAGACAATATCAGTATCACCTTCATTGCTCACATAAAACCAAATATGTTTACCGTCGCACTCTTTCCACATCCGGATCAACCCTGACCAGCCTCTTCCTGTCTTCTGTGGTCTTCACCAAGGTGGTGTCCTCCAAGTTTGAAAAAACCTAAAAGAGGAGCCATTAAATTTGAGAAAATAAGTGCTTGACAGCCCATTGAAAAATACTGAAAAATATAGAATGCATGTTGCACAAGCAGTAAATTGAGCACAATAAATAGCGTACCTGTTTTGTCAAGCGAAAATATGAGGTCATGAAGCTCATGAGCATCATTTTGAGGACGACTATGGTTGCATATGTGGAGAAGGCCAGGAAAACCTCGCTGTCAATCATGTGTACAACTTCTGCCATCTTTATTCAAACAGCAAGTGAATACAAATGGGAAACAACAAATAGCAAACATAAATAATTACATCAAAAATATAAAGACGATTTCTTTCTTTAGTTTGATATAAAGAATAATACACAAAATCTTACAAAAGCAATATCACATACTGGTTAATGTGATACGAAATATCTCCTATCACCACTCCTATTGCCCAACCAAACCAATTTGGCCAATGTATCCCAGCTTGAACTAGTTAAAAAAAACATGTTCCAAAACAGCTACCAGTTTAAACTGGATTTTCCAGCACCTTGTCAGTATCACAGCCTAGCTCCAAATTAAAAACGATGTGGTATTTATAGAACTTTCTTTACCGAAAATGGACAAAAAATCCACAAAGACAGTTATATGCAAATATTTCTTTAAAACAGGCGTATGGCAGTTTGTCCTTTTAAAGCTGGATTTAGTATAGCTGAGATAGCCTACATGAACAGAGCAAAATATCTCATTTAATACTGATTATGTCGCACAATTTAAAGGATTTTAAATTACGGATGTTTAATATTGTTACATCATATATAGTTTGTGAATACGTTTGTCGGTTTGTTTGTTTAAGAGTAGCTATAAAGGAAACAATAGAGCGAACTAAGACGCCCAAGGCGGTCTCTTTGGAATGTCAAAAATGTACGACAAGGCGCTTCATATAGCCTTAATATTAACAAGAAACAAACAAAAGTACAAGAGCAGGAAGTTAAAGAGACGTCTAAGCTGCAATATTAGCGTTTTGATGCGTTTCTCACCTTTTTGACGCCACTCGGTTTCACAGCGTTTCACTCCTGTACTAACGTGAGGTGGTGGTCGTGTCAGAATAACACCAGTTGAGCGAACTGCTATTCTAATGCAACGGGATTTTTGCGCAATATTCACACGGAGGTCTAGAGTTCCTCGGGGACGTCGCTGTAGTTTAAACAGTAGCGCATATAGCAAGGTTCAGGAAATTAATTATTAAATAGGCCTATAGCCTATCAAAAGTTAATGCAATCGCCAATCTCTCTCGGGTTGAGTTTGTTAACTCCTTAAGCACAAATCTTAAAGCTATTTCTAAAAATATGGCACAGGAAAAAAAATACAGTTGATTGAACACACATTGCTCTTTTGTGACAACATGCACCAGTATTGTCACACTGCATGTGTAAGTTGTGCATTATGTTAGTCTATTTAATAAACACTAAAACCAATATAAAACACACACACACACACACACACACACACACACACACATGAAACATCAGAAATGTTGCATTCTGCACTGTTTTGCATTTCATAAATTAACTTTGACCTTATTTTGTAATGTCTCCCAAACTGGTCTTTGCACCCTCAAGTAGATAGCAGCCCTCTATTTAATGCAGAGTCATTGTGATAATGCAAAATATCAACATTAGTGCAAGTGCTTGTCAGTGCTTTGAAATCTGAAATAGTCGAGTTTAGTTATTGCGTAAGTTCACGTAGGCTATAGACAGCCTACTTGGACCAAAGGCAGCCCATTGCTCCTTTCTACTGCTTTCTTTTCTTGTAATAGTGTAAAGTTATCAGGTTAATACTTTGGAGTCTTGTGGATCAATGATTAATCCTAGTTTATTTTAAACTACAGGAAGGTCTTCCAGCCAAATCAAACATAACTGCTAATTCCTTCTACAGTTCGTAACATGGCAAGTACAAGCTTGGGGG